TTTCTACAAAATAATATTGCTTCCTTATACACACATATATTATGAATTTTTATTGATAGTAAAGTCGGTTTAGCGATATCGGTCTGCCTATTGAAATCATTTTTCTGAAGTCCCCAGATATCTCCGGGAATAGTCGGTTACATGTTAACTTTTTTCTAGTTGACCGATTTATTTGATTTTTAATATAAAACATTTTTAATCATTATAAAACACTAAGAACTCTTCTCTGGCAGGATAAAGATAAATACAGTCCTTAATAGGTCAAATTTCGTTATTTCTGCAGATTATAAACAGAATGACAAATTTAAGTTATCATACCTTTTTTTAAATATCTTGTTGTAAATATTAAAATTCTGATATCATTATCCTCAATTCTAAACGATATACAATTTATATTTTTTAATTATAAACTATTCAAAACTTTAAAAATGTTTTGTTAATCTAATTGAAATATAGCGTTTTATTTAGTCATTAAAATAATATTTATAAAGAAAACAAATTGCTTATTTTATGTATTTCAAATTACTTTGTTCATGTTTTAGTTATTTTAATTTGGTAGTGCAATTTTATTAAGTATTTTTAATTTAATATTGTTGATAAAATCTTAACGATGGATTTTATCATGCACTTAAAATTGAAGTACATACAAGTACTGCAGTTAGCAATTTTATATTCATATATGAATAATAAACGGGATCCAAAAAATAAATTTCAGAGCTATTAAAAATTACTAATTTAAGGACTGATTCTCATTGAAAACTTTCCGAGAGAATCAGAATCGCTTATTAAAATGTATCGTTATCAATATTGTATTTATTCACAATACTAACTTTAATAAGTAACTAACGGCTATATTAAGTTACTTAGCATTAAGCAACTCTTAATTCTCCCAATCGGATAGAATTCCATCTTTAAGTATAAGTGATTCCAGAAATTTTCAAATAATTTAATAATAAAGGTTATGTTTAGGTAAGAATTTCTGATTTATTTACCTTAAAATTCGATCTTTGTTAGTTTGATTGTGTTATAAAACTTAATTGTATTGAGGAATTCATTAGAGAACTCTACATTCTACTAGTTTCAATATTTCTACCATTTTTAGTGGCGTATGGTATAATAAAACTCTCTTCTATTAAAAATAAAGATTAAATAAAACTAGTAAACATTTATAGTCGGGCATGGCGGATCATATGATACCCTACACTAGTGATTATGTTACAAATTTTTGATTATTTTTTTTTAACAATAAAGAATTTAATTTAATTTTTAGCTTAATTCAGAAATATTTTAACAATTTGTTGACAATAAAAGGGGTTTAATATGGTCATGTGCTTATAAATTTTGGTAGAGGGATTTACTCCTACAACAGTTATTTATGCAGAATATCATCGTGATGTTAGTATTTATAAGTGAATTTTGACCATTAAGTCATTTTCTGAAGGGGACTTAGTATGAGGGCTAGGATCAAATGAGGCCCGATCATTACGAAAATCAGCAATATCATTAAGACTTATATAAAACTAAATTTTGCCGATTTTTGGAGTGATACAAGAACATTTAACATATTTATGAGCTCAAAAGCCCTATTCGGGGGGTACGGTTGTATCTGACCTATACGAAATAATAGACCGATTTTAACCATTTTCAATAGGACTCACCCTTGAGTCAAAAGAAGAGTATAGCCAAATTTCATCAAATTATCTTGAAATGTGCGCACAAGGTTTACATGGACACACAAACAGACAGCCGGACAGACAGACGGTCATAGCTAAATCGACTCAGAAAGTCGATTGGTATACTTTAAGGTGGGTGTAGGACCAATATTTTTGGGTGTTACAAACATCAACACAAACACATATTACCGTTCCCACTATAGTGGTAAAATATAAATTTAGAAAAAATTCGAAACAATTCAAACATTTACAGCTCTGCAGAGAATGTTAGTAAGAAGAAATTTTTTTTGTTGATACCTTTCTTTTAAATTTATATGTTTAAATGTTAAAATTGCATGCTTCATAACAATTTTAAAACAGTGTTTAGATGTAGTGTTCTACAATTTTGTTTACAACATTTTTGTTATTGTTTTGTTTGTATTTTGATGTTTGTTCATAAATAAAATTCAAAAAAACAGGTAAAAAGTAAATTGATGTTTTCCAATTGAAAATAGAAATTGTGTAGAATGGGAAAACCAAGAAAAAAAAAAATTAAAATAAAAATTTGTTGTTGCATTTTATTATTTTTCATCAGAATTTGCACGTCAATAAAGTATTTTGCATATTGAAATTTCCATTTAATTGCGTTGGGTTTTTCAAATTATTTTTTAATTGCTTTTTGGATATTATTGTTTTATTGTTAAAAGGACACGTGTTAAGTATTTTTCAATTGTAATTTTCAAAAATCATATCCTTATTGTGTGAAACTGTGTAGTTATTAGCGTTAAAAATGTTTAAAGGGAAATAATGAGGCAATTCCAATATAAAAAATTAGTTTAGATTTTTAGAACAAGTATAAATCAATGAAATTCAATTATGAGATGTTTAATCAATCATTAAAAAATATAAAATATAGAAATTGATGAAATAACACAAAGAATTATTAAAAAAACGCACTGAGTTGTCTTTCAAAATCTTTAACTGCCAAAGGAGAGCGACTTGTATCCAAGCAAAAACCATTGAAGTCCTAATTTATCTTCTCCAAAGTCCATATACGAACTTAAAAGAACACTATGTTTAAATTTAGACCTCTAAACAGACCTTAGGTTGCTTGGAAACAATATAAAGTGAACTATCGTGTGGTACGGGAAAAATACTTAATTTAGATATTTACAAATAGAGGCGGTTCTCATCACCTAAGATCCACAAAAGCAATATTTTTTAGCTAATACATACACTTATATATAGTTAGAACCCAAATCAAGAATAACTATTCAAATCCAACTACGCCTACTGTATTTTATTCATAAAATAATGCATTCAAAATATGAGGTAGAATATCAAAATTCTAGCATGTAATAGTTCTATAGTGGTATACGGTGATATCCCCATACTTAGAGTGGCTAGGATGGTATTTTGTGTTAGCTTTATTAAATAAGAATCAAAATTATACAATTCTAAATAAATAAATGAATAGTTTTTGTTTATCAATACAAAATGACCAAAAACCCAGATTATTTTTGTTATAATCTATAGATTTATACCCCACTAAAATTTTTTTCTAGGTCCAAATCCATTGATTTCCTAATATATCATGTATCCAATTCAAAGTTACTTATTTTTTTCGAAATAAATTCAAAGAAACGATAGATTTCATGTTAAGTCAAATATTGAAAAATTCTTATAGGTATATAGGATAATAAATCGGTTAAGAAATGTCCAAACTTAGTCGTTCCACTACTAAAATATCTAAAAAATATTATTCTAATATATAGGAGTAATAAAAATATTAAATTTTATAAAATAATGCAGCAATATTAAAAAAATGAACAAAAAACCTAAAAAAGCAAAATACTTTATTGACCTTAAAAATTAACAATACGTTCAGATTTTATCAAATATCTCGTTAATTAATATCACGATTTCGCTTTTTATGGTAGAAAATTAAAATATAAGATATTCTTTAAAAATACAACAAATAAATTGCTTTATTTTGCTAAAAATAATTGTTCAGATAAAGTTTTTTCTTAAAATTTATAAAATTTTACATAGGCAAATTACTTAATTGATTCACTGTATATCCATTGATAAATTATTTATTATTACTACACTTAGTAAAAAATAAATTACTTACTTGCATATACAGAGTTTTTAAACATACTTCTAGGCTGATAGATAAATTACCTAGTCCAAAAGTTTTTTATCCCAGAGATCAGAGTAGTTTTCTAAACCTCTACATGGCAAGTTATCGAGATATCGTAGCTTTAAATTCGAAAATACTACCTTAAAATTATAGCTTATCTTCTGTTCTCTTTTCTTCTCGAGATATTTTAACTAAATAAAAATTCACATAAAATAAATTTTTTGAACTGCTTAAAAGTTCTTTACATGTTGGATTTTATTTTTTATAAGTTCATAGTTTTAGAGATTTTTTCAACATTGTATTTATCCGATTTCAATCGTTTTAGTCTCTAATTAAAGCCTGTGCCAAAGATACTTTAAAAACGGTATCTTCCATTTTCTTTATTCCTTCACCAAAAAATAGCTTAATTTTTAAATTCTTTATTTCTTTTTTAAAAATTTTACATTTTTCACTTATGTTTTTCAATAATCACTATTAATTGTAATTGTATGTATAAAACGCTTCTATCCATACAATTTGTAATTAATAGAAGTAGTTAAATGAAGTTGCGAAATAGAATTTATTTTATCAGCTTTATTCAAGTTTGTAAAATTTCAGGCTAATTGGGTTACTAAAATTGATTCAAAACAAGTAAAATAAAAAGTTTGTGAAAAATATATATTTTATATCACTTTAAAATTATATTATTTATATTCGTAGTATGTAATGTATACATAAATTTTCCATTACTTTTTGTTATATAAACGTCTGTATAATTTTTTTCAGTATACCCCCAGAGAGACTTTAGTAGTAAATTGGTTTTTTGCATGTTGCCAAAATGAAAAAGTTATAACACTTGTTCCTTATATTTGTATGGTTAAAACACTAAAAGTGAACAATACAAATGTATGTACGTACGTAAAAAATGGGCATGACAATAATAATATTATTTGCCTTATAAACTTCAGATAGCAAAAATGAAAATAATATAACTTCTCGTATTCTTTTTTCATTATGCAATACTCCTAAGGGTTTTAAACACTACAACTACGGAGGTTATCATAACTTTTTTATTAGAAACTTTTTAATAAAATTAACTTTAAATACTTATAATGCAAACATTTTTGCTAACATTTTTGTTGTAACAATCAATTCGAAATATTTCAGTCGGTTAATTTTCAAAACTTTTTTATTATTGGTTTTCTTACTTTTTGTTTTGTTTATAGAAAAATCGTTCCTTATCGTCAGCATCGAGTAGCAGTCATTCAGTATTGGACAATCGTCGTCACTTAATGGAATTGGATGAAGGTGAACTGTTTATGGAATTAATACGTGATGTTGCCAATGAATTGGACATCGATGTGTTATGTCATAAAATCCTAGTCAATGTTGGTCTGCTAACACATGCAGATCGTGGCTCATTGTTCTTGGCAAAAGGACCACCCAACAATCGATACTTGGTGGCCAAATTATTCGATGTTACACAAAAGACACGTAAGTTAATTTGAAATAAATACATACATACTACGTACCACCTCACATCTTTTTATCTTTTATTTTGCACTACATATTGTTTCAATTTTAATAGAATTGCAAAGTGTATTTCATTAACTTTTTTGTTTCGTTTACACAATTGCATTATTTAGTAAAATACAAAAAAAAAGTATTTCTTTTTGGATTAAAATCCATTAAAACATAATGAATATTTGATTAGATTTAGTGTTGCATTTACATAAATGCATTTATTTTGTTCAATTTTAGTTTAAATGGACTATTTACTGTTGGTAATTGTTAAAATTACTTAAAATTGTTAATTTAAATGGATAAGAAATAAGCGAAAAGAATTTTACATTTTCAAATGAAGATATTTAAAAAATGCGATACGTTTCCGATTGTGGGAGGTCTCAAGAATATAAATATATTTTTTATTATACACTTCACCACCATTAGTGGTGATAGAGGGTGTATATAAGTTTGTCATTCCGTTTATAACATTAAGAAATATTCATCTGAGACCCAACTATGTGTATATATTCTTAGTTCTACGGAATTCTGAGTCGATTTAGCTAAGTCCGTCCGTCTGTCTGTCTATATGTCTGTAAAAAAAACACACATTAAAAAAAGCAATAGAAATTAATGAAATTCTTCCAAAATATTCATCACTTTCCTAGGCAGTTTGGTACTGAAAATCAGAACAATGGTTCTACTGTGTAAAGGGTTATGAATCAGAATTGGAAAAAATAATGCATTTTCGCTCCTTCTTTTGTAATAAAAAAACAAGGATGAACTATGATGAAAATCAGAAAAATCGATCCATTAATTTCTATAGCTCGAATAGATAATTAATACGAATAAAATCAATTTTTTTTTTTAAAGAAACCAACATCAACAAAAAGTAACCACGACAGATTTTGGGCATTTTTAGATCCAAGGACTCAATAATACGATGGGTTACAAACAGAATAACAAAATTTATATAACCAACATTTTTTGGTGATGTTCCGCAATGTCTTTGCCATTCCTTTTGTTAGATTCGATGGCTATTTATAAATACGCTTCAATATGTCTGACCGTATGAAATTCTCCATAAATATTATCTATTTCATAAAAGTATAACCCTTAAAATAAGTAATTTTCAGAAAAAAACAAAATTAAATTAAAATTCACATCTACACAGGAAAAAATAAAATAACCAGTTTTGGTTAAAAATAAACAAAGTGGCAACACTAGTCACTATTTCGAAATATAGATCCCCTGCAGGAAATGTCAATAGTGAAACTGTACTGACTTACTATTGACACAGTCACCAGTACTAGTGACTTATTATATGACATACAATGCTTTCTACTATAGACATTTAACATGTGCGTGTCATTGAAAATCTACTACTGA